CACACGCACACACACACACACACACACACACACGCGCGCGCGCACACGCACACGCACGCACGCACGCACGCACACACACACACACACGCACACGCACGCACATACACACACACGCACGCACGCACGCACACACACACACTCATACACACAGCAATCAGGATATATTATGCAGCAGCCAAACCACCGATGTTACAAGAGAAGCGCGGACGCCTAGCAACGATATGTGCGCAGCAGCACTGTACACGTACACGCACGCACACGCACGCGCACGCACGCACGCACGCACACGCACACGCACACACTGACGTGTGACGCACACGGTACGTGCAAACAAGTATTGCTATCAGGCTAGTGTGTGTTACCGTCTGTGTACACACATAGCGGCGGCAAATCCTAGCAACGTTTAGTTGTACTTTTGTTGTTAGCGGCTGTTCGAAAGGTTTATCACGTAGTACGGAACACTTAAAAGTGACAGCCATGCGCATTTTACCGGGAGACGTTCCTTTCCAAAAAAAAACCTCATCTAGGGTTGAATGAATTGATGGCTGCCCTGATAACTGGAAAACCGTATCTCTGTATGTACCCAGCTGATCTGGCTGTACCCAAGATCATGTGAAAGTACACGTAGCAAACATCCATCCATATCAGAAGTAGATAATAGGGATCCCCTAGGGATTCCCTATTTATCTACTTCTGATCTATATATACAACACACCATGTAGAGAAATGCGCACAAGTATCTCTGTAATAAATTATACATGTACTTGCAGTACACTCGAAAAGAATAGCAGTATTTTTATATTACATCCTTACAGCACACAAGTTATGGACATGGGTTTTATCATTTATGCATAACCGTTCCTGCAGCATATATACCAGAATATATACTGTACGTGTAAATTGCATCAAAGTCCAAGCAAGCTGCCTGCCTAGCCACAGCTTGGTGTGGGCGTGTGTGTATCGAGTCTAAGACAAGCACACAGTAATTGTGTGTGCATTGTTAGCTCTAAGGGTAAACACACGCGGAATATAATTACAAGGTTGGGCTCTCCCTGTTCGCTGTAACCCACGACTGGACTTTGGACACACAACCCCCTCAAGATTCTACAACACACACACGCGTGCACATGTTGAGTATTATATGCCACCTAGGCAGACATACACCTATTATAATATCCATTCCCCTGAAGGGTTTTTGACATATTGATTATATTTTATTACAATTGTGCAACCAGGCGTATGGGGAGATATTTCAATGGTATTAATCGGTCACGGGTGTGACAAGGGTGCCTACAGTTACACATAAAAACAGCCAGCTGAGAAGCTAGCTGAGATTGCTTCAACGTTCGAGAGAATTTAAAATCAACAAACACAACTATTCGATGCATCCCTGAAAGTCTGCAGTGTGCCTTTACAATAAATACCAAAGTTATAACTCGCTATAGTATGGCTCATAGGGTCTATGTCCCCCGGGGTACTGCCGGAACGTACCCTGGGTACGGTCTGGTATACCGGAACGTACCCTGGTCACTATTTGATATGGTTAGAATTAGGGTTCGCAGACCTGTCGTAGAGTGAAGTTGAAAGGCTGTGTACATAGTTTGAAATGCCAACTATGCAACATCTGTAATACACTGTCTTAAGTTACTGCCATAATAAGTCATAATACTGGGTCGTAAAATTGAAGGGATTTGGGGGAAAAAATTCGGTAATTCCCCTCTCCCCCCAGTCTTTTTTGCAACTTCTATTATTAGAGATGTAGAATGTACGCCTCAGCATACTATAGCTGAGAGGGTCTATGTCTCCGGGGGTATTGCCGGAACGTACCCTGGGTACGGTGGGGTATACCGGAACGTACCCTGGTACTATCTAATATGCCGGACCGTACTTCGCCTACTTCACTAACGAGTCAAGGGAGTCGCCTACGCCTACTCCCTAACCCGAATCCTCAGGAGTGAAGGGCTGGAAAAGGCAAAGGCTGGCGAGGTGTGTGTAGGGAAGCAGGGGCCAATTCACTTAATCAGTGTTAAAGGCAGAGGTTGGAGTATACACTACAGTACACGAGAGCAGAGCATTATGTGATTATGGTTAGGGGGAGGGGTAGGCATTAGTGCCAGGGAGTGGGTTTATGGTACATAATGAGGGATACAGTTAGGGATATATATATATACGGTTTATTTGTGCCTGTAAGGGAGTTATTGCCCACCCAGACGACCAATAATAAACACACCACATGTCCATCCGAGCTTTTATTGCTCAATGGCAGCGAGTGTTAGTCAGCTAGGGCACATTCTCACGGCAGGGTGCGAAATTAACAGGAGTTCGGAGTCAAATATTCCCTGATTTACTGTCGGACTCCCTGATTTGACATATGCAGGAGTCCGTGTGACTCCCTGACAATTCTGCCATACTAACTAGTTAGTTCCGAAGTACGGCCTCGCGGAATTACCGTATTTTTTCAGCAAATGCCCAAAGAAAATTTGGCAGACGTGCAACCGCATGAATCTTCGAAATAAGCACATGTATGCGACCCCTACACAGTCAGGTAGTGGCAGTGGATGACTCCCACCTCACACACACAGTCCCTTCCCTAGGATGCCTCCCCTCACACACACAGTCCCTTCCCTAGGATACCTCCCCTCACACACACAGTCCCTTCCCTAGGATGCCTCCCCTCACACACACAGTCCCTTCCCTAGGATGCCTCCCCTCACACACACAGTCCCTTCCCTAGGATGCCTCCCCTCACACACACAGTTCCTTCCCTAGGATGCCTCCCCTCACACACACAGTACCTTCCCTAGGATGCCTCCCCTCACACACACAGTACCTTCCCTAGGATGCCTCCCCTCACACACACGCACACACACACGCACACACACACACGGCACCCTCCCATCGTCACTATATATCACTCACCTAGCAATAGGAGTTTCACTTCGCGCGTGCGTTTCTCATGGTCCGCTCTCAACTCCTTGTCGATTTGCTTCGTCCGTTCCGAGGCAAGCTTCGCTTCGCTGCTCTGAACGCAACCCATGATCGCGGATTGATCTCAGAGTCCTCCTCCTTCTCCTCTTCCTCTTCTTCCTTCTCCTCTACGCACCACTACTGCTGCTGCGCGCGGACGATGCCCACGCGGCGTTTCGTCTGGGGTGTTCACGCGTGCGAGGGTCGCACACAAGCATTCACGCACGAGAGAGTCGATGCCGCGTCGTCTGCGGTTTCTAGCGGTGGCGGTCGCGTCGGGGACGTGGGGATGGTGGCGGTCGTCGGTCCGACAGACGGCAGATGAGTCGTAGCCTGCGCGAGAGAAGCACCCGAGAAATTTTAAACGAGGGACGGCGTTCCAGTAGGAAGATAAAGTGCCTTTTGAATATTGTCTAGTTTGAATTAAGCTTCGAAGTGTCAAGTGAGGCTTGCGGTGGCCGCAAGCGAACGTGACTTGTGTTGTGAAACTGAAACCGCTGTGCTCAAATAAGGTTCAACCCTTCATCTATCTTAGAATATGACTAGGTGTCTATCATCTAATCTATGTCTATGACTATGAGCTAACTTATTGGATTTAATTATAGCTAGTGTTTGAAATAGAAAGAGACTTCGGAAACGCACTTTACTCACTCTGCAGAGATCCCGCCGCCTTCACGTTCTACGGTAACGAATTTACTGTTTGTATGATGATTATTGACACAGCTAGGCCTACTGTACTGTACTGAGTTAGCAAGCCGAGCCGCGAGTGGATGTGCGATTCAACTGCGTAGGGGCCTATTTCTCGCGCAGACTCTGAACTCAGTAAGATGTTACACTGCAATTTATTATTGCGTTTCGTTATACTTTCAAAAAATGTAGTGAACCGGCGAATAAATACTAACTTACCGCCAATTTAAATTTAAAAAGTTCTGCCGGGAAAACACAGAGAGCAAAGATTCAGACGAAACTTCAAACAAACTCCCCGGATACTACTACAGCGCCATCGTTCGGTTGATATTTTGCATAACGACCGGTGTTTTTTTTACCGTAACCGTGTATCATCTGAAATGTTTATTAAGGTTCATTAGGCACACATTGATATGTTCGCTGTTCAGTTGTGTTTAGCTAAAACCTCAGTTTCATTCATGTATAAACCCACGCGTTTTTATGTCTGAAGCAAGCGAGGGAGTTACAAAAGCAGTTAGCATGTACATACAAAGGAGCTCTTATTAAATCTTAATTAATTAAAAATTAAAGCTTAAAAATTAAGCTTAACAGCTTAAAAGCTTAATAGAAAGCTTAAGGTTAAATATAAAGCTTAATAGAAAGCTTAATAAGCTTTCTTTAACAAAGGAGTTGTCTTAATATAACTCCTTGGTACTAGTTTAGCTTGGATTATATCAAGAGTTAATAATAGTGCTTATATAATTATATGTATTATTAGCTCTTGATGATATCCTAATATTACATTTATGCATAACCACATAATTGCATTTATGCAATATCACAGTTTGCTGTTTGGGTATAGTTTCATGAATTATTTTCTGATTCTATAGAACAAACCAATTTATGATAGCATATGCTCATTCTATTCCTCATGTACTTGCTTAGATACAATAATGTACACACGAGTAGGACGTACACTCCTAACCTGCTCCCTACTCTGTGAATTAGGGGGGGCACAGGGGGTTATCTTCCTCCCACCTCCCTCTCCCTCTCTCTCTACTCCCACCTCCCTCTCCCTCTCCCTCTCCTCCCACCTCCCTCTCCCTCTCCTCCCACCTCCCTCCCCCTCTCCTTCCGCCTCCCTCCTTCTCCACTCCCACCTCCATCTCCTCCAACCTCCCTCCCCCTCTCTTTCCATCTCCCTCCCCCTCCCCTTCCACCTTTCTCCCTTGTCATCCTATCTCACTCCCTCAACACCTCCAGGATCCTTTATATTTTGCATTTTCTTTTTTGAATGTCACTTAGTTTCTCTGACAATTTGCATAATAAAGGTATTAAATTATTGAAATACATACATCGAAGTGTAAGATGGAAATTTCACGGCCAAACCTTTATTAATCTTATCCAGTAAATGTTGTTCTGTATAGGTACTGTAATTATATTAATTCCACTTTACGTTAAATACGTTTTAGAGTATTATAATACGTTTAATAATCCATTTTACGGTTACACATAACATAGATATATACAACACATATGTGTTCAAGAGCCCTTGGCTTGATCTCTTGATGTGTTGTATATATCTTGAGCTCTTGATGTTCCCTCTTGATGAGCTCTCTCATGTTGAGCTTTTGATGTGTTGTATCATGGTTGTATATATCTGTGCATATAACATACAATGTGCGCATGAATTATTTCTACCGATAGATGGCGCGAGAATGTCAGATTTGACGTGACAATGATATCCCCTCTGCGCGCGAAGTGCGCGTGCATGCACACCAGTTTGCGTGATAATATATTTATCCTGACCAATGTATTTTCTCATGTATTTATTTCTCGTCCTATGGATTTCTTTTCTTTTTCTCTACTTAGTATACTCTCTCTCCCTTTTTCTCACTCCTCCTGCCCCATCCTCTCCCGTCTCCAATACCACCTACTGTGTTGGGTTGAATTATTATAGGAATGTTGGGAATGTTTGGGAAAAATTGCAGTGCGCACAGTTTGTCAACTATATGCCAACAATTTTCCACGTGATGTACAAGGGAATAATACGCAATTCGTAAGAAAAAATCGATTTACGAGTAATTTCAATACAATAACAGCACCCTCTTTATTCATCAGTCCAGCCACACCGTTAGTTGTACAGAGACATTGGTTGTAAAAACAGCACATAGTTCAACTTCAGCCCTGCAGGTGTCGCCACAATCTCTGCAAGTCTGGATTTTGGAATGTCTCCGGGGAAAACCTTTTCCCTAATTAATCCTGTCGATTACTATTGAATCTGTTGCAAGTCTGCGATATTCAAACCTCTGTATAACCTGGGGCCTATTCATTTGAGGCTGAAGTTGATAACACTGCAATGGAAGCAGTCTTGTCCAAAACCTTGCACTCTATATAACAATCTCTTGCGGAATTATGAAAATCGATTAGTGCATCAATGCGCAATTTGGCCACCGTACAACCAAATCGGAAGGATTTTGTGAAATTGAAACAACCGCACGCGTCACTGCGATAAGATCGGCTGACACAACTAAGTGATAACGAAACCTCGTGGTTTCCGTCTATACGGAGCAGGAACAAACAGCAGCAGTAATAGCGTTTAACACGCGATGTTATACAGTTCTGTGGTCCTTACGCAATGTCCTGTACAAAAAGTTGTTCACGCTCTTGAAGTGTTTGGTCTGAGCATTCGTCGTGACCCCCTAACAACAGCATCACAGTTGTAACCAGCTTCACACTCCTAGTGCTATACCACAGCCTAAGCTTTCTTTACTTACTGATAACCAAAAGTTCATGTGAAAAACCGGATCACGTTCAATCCCTTACCGTGCAACAAATTTCCACGTAGGAACAGGTCGATCACTCATAATGAAAACTCTACTAGTGCAATCAACAGTATTGACCTGTCAATTTGATCATCTATTAGATTTTTTCTTTCCTCGTTGCACTCCCTTGGACTATGAAGGATATTCGTTATGAGGCCAAGGCTACCAGCGAACACACACACGTTGTACATGATGCACGGTCTCCCACGAAATCAAACATCCCAAGATGAATGCCATGACGCTGTTGCTAGGACCGACAACGTGGCCGTTGCTAGGGGCAACGACCAAACGCCCAGACTTTATGAGCCCCTCTAGATAAGCAAACTGGATACACAACTAAGTACACTGAGTTTCTTACACTGATTTCTCGTTTGTCACATTACAGTTCCATTAAAAAGAGTTGCTAAAAAGATGAAGAACACAGAATATAAAAAGATCCCTTCACTGATCCAACAGGGTATTAAGTTCAGCTCCGTCAGACGGGCAGGCCACAGAAAGTGACTGCAAGCCCTACAGCCAACAGACATCGCGATAGTGAAGACGAGTATCATGGGTGCGTGTCGTGCATTCAGTAGCGTACCGTTAGTGACCCTAAGCAGTACAGGCTACTGACAGCGAGTCTCCAAATGCGACAGATACACCGTCATTCTAAAGCGTCACGATTCACGCGCACGCCCACTACTAGCGCCACCTGTCACGAAGGCTAGTCTCTTGTCTGCAGTCTGCCCGCTGAAGTCTGGAAAACGGGGGGCGAGGTCCGGCAGCAGATGGCGTCCCTACGCCGAAAAAACTTTCTCCAAAAACACCCGCGAACGAATTGGCCTGCCAAATCGAACGGCAATGCAAAGGCCGGACACCGGCGCCACCTACCGCGCGCGACCCGTGGGTCGTAGACGACTACTACGTACACGCGTTTGTTCCTTATAAGATATTATGATTAATCAGCACAAACCTAAAGCGGTACAGTTACGTTCAATAACCCTAACCCATTTTTCTCAAGTTTCTCTTCGTCTCTAGTTGCTTAATCACACGTTAGAGTGCTCGCGCGCTTCTACGAATGCCCTACGCTCCTACATCCATCTCAGCGGTTTGAAGCAAAAGCGAGTTCTCTGACTGCGGTACGAAAGCGGCTACCGTGGCGCCCTCGCACGCCAGGAATGTGTACGAGCGACGAAAATCATTCTAGTCACATTTCAATTCACGTAATCGGTCGCATCGCAAAACGCTGGGTCGCGATTTACACCACGCCTCGAATAGTACCTTATAATAGTTGCACTCAATGTGTCTAACCAACGACGAACAACCGCGAAACACTCGTTCATGACATAATCAATAACACGGGCAGGTAATGTTAATTACATTATAATTAGATGCGTAATGATAATTACTCGTTAGGGACGAGACGTTTCCCGCTCCGATCGGTGTTCGTCAAATAACATATTCTGGCAACACAATTATTTTAACTAATACAAACTGTTTACATGTGTTTGGAACTTATTCACATTATACTTTCAAAAATACATTTACCCTGTTGGATCAATTCACTTCAGAAACGCTAGATATTTGCAAGCGTGGTTTTTTGTTCCGTGGCTCTAAATTCGAGCTTCATTCTCCCACCTATTCTGAATTCCTGCCCGCCTCAGGAAACGACAGGGTCAAGCACAAAAGCGGGTAATTTAGAAAAGGGATCTTTTACTGAGCAGAGATAGTCAGAATTCCTAGTTTACACCAACCGTGTGTAGTTTTAACCATGCCCGGCGCGACGGCCGGACAACGCTGCAGCAAGACTAAGTGGGTCGCGAAAAACCCCGCTACCAACGTCGCCGACGACAACGTTGTCTTTTCATTTTTTTCGACGTAACTTCATGATCAAAATCCCGCGTTACCGGGGGACACAATGGTGTTTACGGAAGGAACGCGGAGGCAGGACGACGCCCCTGCCGCAAGCGAGGGCGACCCCTGAGCTCCCACCGCGCCCCACTCTTCCACTGTCTGCAAGTTTGCATCACTGGTGTAGAGTAGTGTTCAAACGTGTTTGTGATGTTTTCGGGAGTACCGACAAAAGGACCCCCTGCGATCACCGTGGCGACTTCAGACAATGCTGAAGCGCATCTCGTTATAACGAGTCGCTAACGACTCGATAAGTGTGCTTCGGTAATGCCATGCCGCGTTTTCCTCGCTTCTTGCGCATTTTTTTGTAATACCGAGTGGGGGAAAAAACCCCCGATTCTCTTCAGTCGCTCGTTATCAGTGCATGTTCTCAATCAACGTACGGGTTACGTTTCTATGTACGCGTACGCACAACTACTTCTGTCGTAGAGTATTTCTGTTGTTGCCGCGTATCTCATTGTTCAACACTGTGCTACGTTTAAAATCGAAATGCGAGTGTATCTAACATCTATCTGCTTGCTTTCCACCTATTCTCTCACGTTGTGTTTTCGATGCGTTTTCTACGCACGCATCTCGCTTTTGAATCAAGATACAAATACAACTAGCCAAGTGGCGAGTTGCCCCCCCCCCACCCCCGCTCCACATTTGAAATTTACTATTGAACTCGGTGCGCCCCCTACTGGCCAATAGGTCGGCACGGCGACGCATTGACGGCCGCCGCAGACCTCCAGCAGGGTGCAGCACTTTTCGCGGACCCACCCCCCCTCCCCCACCCGGAAACAATTCGCAGCGTGCGTCGCCACGACGACGACAAGTGGAGGAACACCTGTGAGTGTGTTACTGTTTTACGTCTGTCTGTCTGTTCGTCGGTCTGTCTGTCTGTCTGTCCGTCCGTTTATGTCTTTCTGCTGTCCAACGTATGTGACTGACACACTCCACCAACAACAACAACGACGGTAGTCAACAGTTGGTTTCGCAGCTTCTTCAAAGGGATTATAATAATAATAATAGAAAAATAAATCAATCTATGCAATGTACAAAACGCGACCCCGGCGCGGCGTCGGAGCGCGACGACACGTTCGCTTGTTTGCGACCCGCGGGGATGTCACGCGCCGCCATCTTCAAAGGCGAGACGTCCCACGATTCACAAACTCTCCACTCAGTCGTGCCGCCGGCACTAACAAGCGAACGTCTCGCGCGAACCCTCACGCTCCCGGAGAACACTCGCGCCGCGTCTACTCCTCGCTGACAGCGCCCTCTGCAGGCACGACCGCGTCGACCGTCAGCGCCACCTTCGCGACCTCCTCGGGAACGTCTTCGAACTGGTCGGAAGAAGGGTCTTCCTCTTCCACGGCGGCGACCTCTCCCTCCTCCTCCTC